TTTTCTCTCAAAATTAAAGCAACTATACGAAGCTTAGAACGGCTCATGATCAAACATAACAGACATTCATTGTCTGTTATATTTAACAATATATGCTTAAATATATACACATCTATATGTACATACTTTTGTTAATACCTAGTTATTATCAGTACACATATTGATGTCTACCTAAAAGCACACATATATGTGTATGCGTGTGAGTGTGTGCATATGTATGTATGTGTGTATAACTGAATGACAAATTGAAAAACTATGCCACGCGTTTCGTCCTTCGAAAGGACATCTTCAGGATAACAGTGTTTTTATTGATAGATTTTATAAATAAATAAATAAATACAACAAACTTCCGTTTTAGTTTTACATCGATCCCACGTTAAAAATACATTGACGTTCAGTTTTAAATTTAAATATTTAAGTTTGTAACGTCCGTTATATCCAGATGCAAAACTCTATTCGACCTGTTAGCGTTTTATTATTCTTGTACACACACACACACACACATATATATATATATATATATATATATATATATATATATATATATATATATATAGTCCACACTTTTGAAGGGCCAAATACAGAGATCTGGTGCACTACGTGCCACAAGGACCCCAAACGACTCTCCGCAGGTTTTGAATTCAGAGTTGTCCTTCTCCTAGCCCAGTTGCCATCAAAGGCTATAGAACCCAGTCTGTCCTATATATATTGTATAGTAAAAAAGAAAGAACAGTAAGATATGTAATCCGGTGTTCTTATTGATATTTTTATTTTTACAAAACAGTGCTCAGTGTAAATTTACAGAGCATTGTTTTCTGTTTTTGAAACATGGTAATTCCTGTGTAAAGCGATGAAACCATATTTTTAAATCAATTAATTTAATATATATATATATATATATATATATATATATATATATATATATATATATGATCTTTAAAAGGATCATACTGTATTAATAAAAAAAATATAAAATTAAAATTTTAGGTACCTTTCGACCGACACATCTTCAGAAAAAAGTAATATCGTTAGAAAATGAAACTAATTGGTTGAAAAGAAAAATTATTTTCAACAACTGGTGTTAAAATATACCAATATATGTGACGTCATTAAATGCCTGATGAACGAAAGTGTGTAAATGGTGTTGTTGAATATTTATTCACTTAATACTTAAACTATTTTAGTATGGGATAAATTTATGTATTGAACCCATCTTTTATCACCCCAGCTATGGATAAATATCAGGACAGACCGGGTTCTACAGCGTTGGGTGGCAAGCGGTCTTAGTGGGTAACTATCCTGACTCCAATGTTTCATAGACGTACTCTCCAATAATCACTCCTACTCATCAGGAGATATCAACAATTGCCTATATATATATATATATATATATATATATATATATTTCCACATTCAACACCATCACTTGAGAAGACACCGGAAGTCTTGAAACAAAATGGCTATTTTGTAGTGATTTTATAACATTTTATGTTATATATATATATATATATATATATATATATATATATATATTATTAATAATTTAAAAATATGATTCCAACTCGCGACATAATCATATTTATAAATTAATAATTATGCTCTACTTTTGTATCGAGCACTATTTTTTTAAAATAATAACTAAAATACTACTAAGGAACTTTGGATTATTTACCTAACCAGTTCCTTCCTATTTTCTATATATTTTCACACACACACACACACACACACACACACACACACACACACACACACACACACACACACACACACACACACACATATATATATATATATATATATATATATATATATATATATATATATATATAATAAAATGCTTAAACACTAATATCCCATGGTTATAATTTATTAAATTGGAATCGTAATTACAATCCAATTCATCATACCTACAAATTCAAAAAATAGATACTATATATAAATTTCAGCGTATATGTGTTTATCAGTTATTTACAGTAACATATTTGTGCCTGCAAGATTCTGTTATGGTAATCTAGGTTTAGTCTTGTAAAGAAATATATAACATAATATAGG